ATTTATTGTGTTGCTCTCTGCACTGCAGGGTCCTCATTATACGCATTGTATTAAACATCCTGTGCTGGTTTATCTGTTGTACCCACTCTGTTTTCCAGCTGTCCATTAAAAGAAAATCCATGTGAGATAATTTCAGCTCATCAATGAAGGAATGAAAGATTTCCCCTGTGACATGAACTATTAATTGTTGAGCTGAGAGGTTTCTGTTATCAGAGCACCTGGAGGAAGACGAGGATTATCTGGAGTCCAGACACAAACCGTTTGCGTGTTTCCTGGCAGCGGCTCTGAACCAGCTCCAGCAGATTATGTTTCCCCTCACATATATTGCTCCTTGAGATGCTGCAATAGGTTTATGATTTCACTTCCAGTTTATTTGCACAGTGATAAAACACAGGAGCAAAGCAATAAAAGCAGCATGATGAAAAACAATGATAACCAAACTGAACAAAGAGAAACAAATGAGCAGAGAGGACGGCAGAGTGAGGAGAGGAGCTGGAGGGAGGATGAGGTGGGAGAAGAAAATACAAAGGAGCAGAGAGATGAAGAGGAGGATGAAGGGGAGGAAGATGAGTGGAGAGGAGGTAAAACGTGTTTTATACTAAATTTGAACATTTCTGAAAGTTGATTATGAATCTGTTAAATCTTTTCAAACATCACAGGACACTGAATTGAAGTGTGCATGCATCAACTCGTGTGCAGCCTGTTGCAGTCGCTCCTGCTTAACTTTCTATAACTTTGCACATTTACAGCGACGACTCATAATGTTCAGCACGTTGCAGGATACAAGACGACAGACAGGAAGTGCTGCATCAGACGGACCGACTTCCTACATGGACAACACACTTGGCGCTCTCTCGCAGCGCCAGTGATGTCAATTTTAACAACGTTAATCAGACAGGAAACAGTAATGTGACTGACGTGAAAAAGAAAATATCTGTGGCTCGAAATTGATTTGTAAAATGTGCCGTGCTGCGTTTTTAACCAGCTGATGTTACAAAACATCAACTTTAAGTCACCACCAGATGGCGTCTCTCACAGAGCAGCTTTGAAGACAAAGACTGTGATGTCATGTGAACGAACAACTAAATTCATATATTCACTTAGTGATACGAACCTCTCCAGTCTGTTGATAATTGAATAAAGTTACCAAGTGAAAAAAAGAAATGAAGAGAGGAGACAGAGGACAGAATGGAGCATGAAGATGAGACGGAGAAGAGGGAGTCACCAAAACAAAGACTAAAGACACTGATGCAGCTCAGAGACTCGAACACTTAGAGGAGAAAGAGGAAGAGAAGACAAATTACACAGGTGTCAAGTTCAGAGAATCTGTTAAAATGGAGGAGAGAGATGAAATGTAATCTGAGGTCGGACCTCACCAAGTATTCACTTCTGAATTTCTTCTTCCTAATTTCACAGGTTTGATACTGCGCTAAACTTCAGTATAATCTGAGACACACTAAAATTTCATTTATCCATTTTAAAAACATCAATATGAACATCTGAAAATGTCGTGAATCCACATCTGTATAACCTCTGTCCTCACTGAAACGTCTGAGGCTCCAGTTCCACTCAGATAAAATCCAGATTTAAGACACTTTCATTTACAGTGCGTCTCTAGCTCTGGTCCTCCTCCAGTCCACACAGAGATGATGATACACCGGAAGCTGCTTGGTCACTTATTATCACACCAGAAGAAGAAGAACCTTCTAACAACTGTCAATAAACTAAGACGAACATGAGTCGACTGTATTTATCAGAAGGACGGACACAGACCATGGATGTCATAACTCAAACAGTGAGTGGGTTTTTAATGTTATCTGTCATGAGTGCTTCTGGGATACATTAACACTCTGCTTTTTGAGATCAGATCTGCCCAAGATGACTCAGAGTAAATGGGGTCTAGATGACAGCTTCACCAATCTCCAAACCCTGGAGACCCCCCCCCCCCAAGTTAGGGAAAGAGACAGAGTGAGTATGAGTATGAGACTGTGGCGACAAGTAGGCAAAATGTATTTCATCTCCTGAGTGGCTGGATTCATCCTTCAGATGTGAGATGTCAGTTTCGTCTAGGCGCTCATGAAGCTTCCAGGTTTGAAGGAGCCACAGGAACTAAACCCTAAACATCTGGAGATCCGTGAAGATCTGACAGAACAGACCAGTAACATGTTGTGGTGGTGTGAATGAAACGCTGACTCGACATGCCAGAGTTACACTGCGATCGAAACTGTAGAGACGCTGTAGTAGCCTCAGCTCTCAGTTTACTGGTCGATGTTCCCAGATAAAATTAATTTTATCTGCGGCAGATGCTGGGCCCATCCCAGTCACTGTGGAGGGAATCACCCTGGTAGTGACTGAAACATCAGCGGTGTGTCAGCACACTAGAAAGGGAAGGTGGTCTCCTCTGGTACAGCCCCACATTTTGTTGACCCATAAGCCCCACCCTCCATCCTCTGAGGAGTGTTGCAACATAACCACGTCACACGGTCAGAGCTCAACAGTCATCTGCGACAGGGATTCTCACTTAGACGTAAACAAACATTTTGGGCTAAAACAAATGATTGTCTTTTGTCTCAGGAGGATGGTCTCCTCGGACGTCAGGGTGACGAGCTCCAACAACTGGAAGGAGCTCAGAATAGAGGTACTGCTCATTCATATCTGTAGTCAGTGGAGTTGGTTTGGGCCTCTGATCAGGATGCCTCCCTGATGCCCAGAACACATTGGAGGGAGTCTATGTCTTATCTGGTCCGCAGACACCTCCGAGGATCAGGAGGAGGAGATCTTGGCCACCGTGCTGCCACCACATCCCGGATAAGCCGTGTGAATTGATGCCTTTTACCACATGATATATCTTTGACCCAAACTAAACACCTGAGCAGGTAAAACAGGCCTAAACCTGAACTCTGAACTAGATAGGATGAACATGAAGGAGTTGTCCCACAAGTTTAGATATTTCTGCTTCTCTTTATGTGCCACATCTGGATCTGTGTGAATAAGAACCCAATCAATGACATCAATATTTTGTTGGAACACATCTGATCAGAGAGACGACAGACAGACTCAGATTGGATCTGAGGTTATTTTATTTGGTGATTTAACGCTGCTCGTTCTAGTGTGATCTACGAGTACCGACAGGCTGATACCAACTGAAAGGGGGGGGGGGTACTCCCTAGAAGGAAACAGAGTAACAGAGAGCAGAAAGAGGTGAGGAGGAGGAGGATGGGGGAGGAGAGGGGAAGTAAAAGCCTGGGTTTTGTTTTGCTGCCTGAAGAATCCATTTAGAGGCCGGCCTCTCCCTGCTGATAACTAATGGACCTGAAGACTGAGAGGAGAGGCGAGGAGAGGAGAGGAGAGGAGAGGAGAGGCGAGGAGAGGCGAGGAGAGGAGAGGCGAGGATGATTTTCAGAATAAAAGCCCTCAGTTTTCAGAGCCCAAAGTTGCACCAACAATCCCAAACTGATTCAATTTGCTTGGACACCAGCCTGGTACCTGCAGACAGCTAGTTAGCGTTAGCTCCTGTACCCAGCAGGTAGGAACAGGCTGAACAAAGAGGAGGAACAAACACACCAGAGAGCACAGAGTAGTGAGCAGACAAAGAAACTGTTCGATACATGAAGAGTCACAGCAGGTGATCAGCTGAGGTACAGTTTACAAGACTGTTGTGACTCACAGCAGCAAATGTAGCAGCTATTATCTACATTATTATTTGATTCTTAATCCTTTTCTGCTCATTTTAATAACTCACTTTTCATGATGGATACTTTTTATACATAGAGCAAAAGCACACATTCAAATTCAAGATTTAGACTTGCAGTGTGTATGACGTCATCTCTACAGCTCTTGGTTTCTTTGTAATAAGTCAGTTTGAACACAAAACAGACCACAAATAACACACAACAGTAGAATGGTGTTAGTAAACTCTTTTAGTGTGGACCAAGTGAACCAAACTACTGCTGAAACTCTGAGTTTAGATCTGCAGCCTTGAGCTTAATATGAACAATTTATTCCTACAGAAACCTTCTTTCTTCATTCAATAAAACAAACCGACCTTCCACCTGCACCAGAATCTCACAGCTCCAGTTCAACACTGTTAGAGTCATTCACACGCTCTCATTCACACCTTCTCAACTCACACATTCTCCCTCCATTCACAGACAGGTAGGAGTGTAGAGTCATATAGAGAGGAGAGGCTCTGTGTGTGTGTGTGTGTGTGTGTGTGTGTGTGTGTGTGCTAAAAAGCAGTATGGTGGTTTGGTCAGAGCTTATGGCAGATTCCTGACTCACTCTCTATTTCTGATGTTTCCAAAGGCTCTTTGAACAACAGATAATGGATCAGTGCTGGAGAGCTGCAGGGTGAACCAACCATCATCATCATCCTCACACACACACACACGCACGCACGCACGCAGAAACACACACACAGAAACTCTCCCATCCACATGGCAGCAGTGAGTGTATGTGTATGTGTGTATGTGGGCGGCAGCAGGGTGAAGATACACCACCGTGCTTGAGAAGCAACGTGTGGGAGGCGCGCACACACACACACACACACACACGCACGCAGAAACACACACACAGAAACTCTCCCATCCACATGGCAGCAGTGAGTGTGTATGTGGGCGGCAGCAGGGTGAAGATACACCACCGTGCTTGAGAAGCAACGTGTGGGAGGCGCGCACACACACACACACACACACACACACACACACACACACACACACACACACACACACACACACACACACACACACGTAGAGTTTTGGTTTTTCACACTTCATTTCTTTTCATGCTGGAAACATTAAAACTCTCCTCCGTAACCAATAATAACGACACATCCGAGTCCCGACACGACGCAGGACGATTACAGCACAGAACACACACTCGCGTTGCCATGGTGATGATATTAACAGTGGTGTGTTCATCAGTAGCAAAAATAAAATCTGTTTAATGTCATATATCACAGCAGTCAGCAAACACCCAACATTAAACTGATATTAACTCACCCGAGCGTTGTCATGGTGACGATGGTGTACCAGAAGGAGGCCGGGATGGAGGTGAAGGTGGAGCCCTTGGTGCCCTTCTCGGCGTAGAACATGACAGTGGCGAAGATGATGATGGCCATGGTGAGGGAGAAGAGCAGGAAGCCGAGCTCGGAGGCGCAGCTCTTCAGCGTGTAGCCCAAAATCCTCAAACCCTGCGAGTGACGCGAGAACTTGAAGATCCGGAAGACACGGAAAACCCGAAGGGTGACGAAGGCACCGCTCACGTCCTCGTTCTCGGGCATCACCAGGCCGATGTAGTAGGGCATGATGGCCACCACGTCGATCACCGACATCACCGAGCGCATGAACTTGCAGCGGCTGGGAGCGGCGAACAGACGCATCAGGTACTCGAAGGTAAAGATGAGCACGCAGGCCGTGTCCATGCAGAAGAAGGCCAGCTGGTACTTCTCCCCGCAGGGGAGGTCTTTAACGCTGCCCTTGGGGGGCCGGCAGGGGACCGTCTCCACCACGTTGGCGATGACGGAGACAGCAATGAAGAAGCCGGTGACGTAGTAGAAGACCAACGCCATGGTGGAGGTGTGGGGGTTCTCGAATGCTCGCCACAGACGCTCCCTGGAGGTGCTGTGCGGAGGGAGGGGGGCGTCCATCGCCTCGTTGGCCTCTGTGTCCTCCGCCAGACGCTCCTGGTTTTCCTTTTTCCTATCTCGGTATTCCTTCACAGAGAGAGGGGAGGGAGGGAGAGGAGGATAAGATTAGCATCAGGTCAGCAACAGCTGGTGTTCACTGATAAATCACAGACTGACGGTGCTCAGAGGGAAAAAGGTGCTAAGGACTAGCTTGTGCAGGAGAGTAAAGAAGGTCACCATGGGCCCACTGTTAAGTCTGGTGGCTAAGTAGTTAACTTACTGTTAAGTGGAGAGCAGGGTTAACTGCCATCCTGCAGACATTTAGGCCTCACCTCTGGTCTTGAGTTGTGGTAACTTATCAATGTTCAACATCTGGAATTTTTAGCCCTGAACTTCTAGTAGCTGGTGTTTCTTCCAGCAGTGAAGTAGCACAAGAAATGCTTCATTTCTATATTTACTTTAATATTAATACAATATA